AGGATATAACGTCACCCTGTCTTACACCTCTCTGCAATTGGATAGGTTTCGTATCTGGTTCTGTACTCGAATAGCCATCGTAGCCCTACTGTATAAGCACTTCAGCACTTCGATATACCGACAGTCAACTTGGCATCGCTGAAGGGACTGCAGCACCGTCCAAAATTTGACGGAATCACAGGCTTTCTCATAGTCCACATACGCTAGACATAGTGGCAAATTGTACTCCTCAGACTTCTGTACAATTTGCCGAAGGGTATGTATGTGGTCTATGGTGCTAAAGCCTTTTCAGAAACCGGCTTGTTCGGGAGGCTGGAAGTAGTCAAGTCTGCGCGCGAGACGATTCGTAATGACTCTCGAAAACAGCAGAGACAGACAGACAGTAGACGCGGGTGAGAAGGGAAATCGGACTGTAGTTCTTCAAGAGAGCGTTGTCACCTTTCTTGAAGAATAAGACCACCTCACTTCTGCTCCACGCCTCCGGTGTAATGTCACCATGGAGGACGGAATTAAAGAGCCTCTGAAGGACTTCAAGTACCGGTTTTCCACCCGCTTTCAGAAGCTCCGCTGTAACTCCATCCACGCCTGGGGCCTTGCCGTTTTTAAGGTGCTGGAGAGCCATTCTAGTCTCGCTCAGTCTGACGTCCGGGATATCATCGGAATAGTGCCGGATAAGACTCGCCTTTGGATCGTTACTCACACTTACGTGTGGCTCCAATGATGATGTGTACAGCTGCCCATAGAACCTCTCAATCTCACTCAAAATCTCAGGTGTCCCAGAAACGACGCTGCCACACTCGGTCTTCAGCTTCGACAGTTGGCTCTTTCTGGCAGACAGATCTCTAGCAAAGACTTTGGAGCCCTGGTTCCGCCGCTCGATCGCTTCTTTAATACGAGCAGTATTAAAGTTGCGTAAGTCCCGCCGCATGCATTTGGAGATCTGTCTGTTCAGTTGCCTGTAGTCCACTGCATTGCAATCTTCTAGGCACTGAAAATGGTTTCGTAGCTCGAGCTTAAAGGTTTCGGGACTTTGGATTAGAGCACGAGGGGGACGGAGCGTTGATTTCATTAGACGTGACGTCTCCAATTTAACGTTTAGGTTCAGTGTGCCTCTTACCATTCGGTGATCGCTGCCGGTTTTCACCCTCGAAATCACTGAGACCTCACTGAATAGTTGTCGTCTGGTCGTCATAATGAAGTCAATCTCATTTTTTGTCGAACCGTCGGGGCTCGACCAGGTCCACTTCCTCTGTGGCCGCTTCTGGAAGAAAGAGTTTATCATAAAGAGTACCTCTTTCTCCATGAAGGCGGCCAGCTGGCCCCTTGGGTTCCGTTGCGCTAATCCGAAATTCCCTACTTTCAGCTCACCGTTCTCTCTTGTGCCTAGTTTTGCGTTGAAGTCTCCCATTAACACCGTATAGTGGTTTTGGAGGAATGGATGGCTCTAGAGATATCCTCATACATTTCCTCCACCTCCTCATCGGGGTGTGCCGAGGTTGGTGTGTAAGCCTGTATGACCTTCAGCGAATACCGTTTGGTGATTCTGAGTATAAGGTACGCAACCCTCGTCGACACACTCCCAATCTTTACAACGTTGTTAACGAGAGACTTGTGGACGATAAATCCGACACCTCCTTGGGACAGATGGTCGCCCTCCCGGTGATAGAACAAAATGCCGGATTCGAGGATTACCGTGTCCTCCCCTTCTCGTCGGACTTCGGATAATCCTATGATATTCCAGCGCAACTTGTCTATCTCTTCTTCCAGCTCCACAATCTTCTCGTCAGTCCTCAGGGTGCGTGCGTTGTATGTTGCCAGGTCGAGTCGTCGTAGGTGGCAACCGAACCTCCACCGGGGATTCTTAGCACCCCCTGCCCCGCCGTTACCATGGTCGCCACCGTAGCCAGGAATAGCGGGACCGCCGGGGAATTATCTAATTACATTACGGAATTATCTAATTACAATACTTGCGAGATCAGTATAATGTATTTGTGTTCATTCTGAGCACCCGGAATCTTATTTTATTCTTTTGAACATGTACTCTGTGGCGGCAATCAAACAGTGTCAAATGTTGTACGTGCGGCGCGGCGGCGACGATTGTATGCGATATCAATAGAAGCCGCCGGCGCGTGTATCTTGACCTTGTACTTCCAAATAGCTGTAAAATTTCTTTGACAGGCCAGTATCAGACCTTTGATGATGCCGACAACAAGACGCCGCGCACTATCAAAGTGCCGATGGTCAAAACTAGGGATGCACTCTTTTTTCTTTTAATGGATATTTTTATTCACTAGGTATGTTTATGGTATTGTTCGTAATGCGCATAACTCCAATTTTCCAATTTTTTTAAATATGTTTTTTGATATCATAGAGTCCCTAAGAGTATACCCGAACTCCTATACTTCCTGAAACGACACTTAGTCCTAACTGCAAGACTCAAGAGTCTCGCAGGTTTAGTCTTGATCTTGCTCAAATCTTGCAGGGTCAGTCTTGGTCTTGGTCTTGCTAAAATTAGGCGGTCTTGGTCTTGGTCTTGTTCTTGCAAAACTGCAAGAACAAATGCAAGAACAAGACCAAGACCCATTTTGGGCAACACTACAAGGAAGTGTCCGCCACGCTGCCCTAATCAACCGTGTTAGCGAACTTCACATGTCTTCGAAATATTTTATTATCTTATTTCTCAGACATGCAGAATTCCTCACGATGTTTTCCTTCACCGCCGAGCACGTGGTAAATTAGCAAAATAACAATTTCATTGCTACCGGCTGGGATCGAACCCGGCTTGCTCGCGTACTGCCAAATTTACAGCGAGCGCTAACCATCTGAGCTACCACGGCTTCTCTGAGTTACCACAGATCCTCTGAGCTATCACGGCTCCTGGCCAGCCCTGTCGCTTCCTAATTTATGCAATCATAAGGCCTCGGTATTGTGAAGCGCTAATTTAATCCCAACTCATGAAATTTGGCGACGACCACTTCCGCCCCAAGTTAGGCGAGTTCCTTTGCTCTCTCGAAGGTGACCCCGCTGGCAACAACCAACGTATCGTCAGCATAGCATACGATATCTACGCCAGTGGGAAGGTCACTCGCAGAACCGAATCATAGGCTAGGTTCCACATTAGCGGCCCCAGCACCGAGGCTAGTGGAACCCCACGTTTGATATCCCTCCGGATCTTGCTACCATGAATAGGATGTACCTGTTACGTAAGTAGTCGCCGGACGCTGCTGTTACAGAGCAACTGTCATTTCAGAGAAAGATTTACTATAATCATAACATTTAAAGAATTATTATTATACTCACGACAATCTAAGAAGCCCGATTTGACGTTTCTCATTATAATATCCGCGATAACTTTGTAGGAACGTCTACGTAAGAAATCGAAAAATCAAATTCAAAATCCTAATTAATTACTTACTATGTTATCCATACAGTATAACAATAAGTATCATTCGTAAGCACCAAGTTTCACTTTATATTAGAAATATGCACTCAAAAACACGAATTAATCGTTGATTAATATTCCGACAGGACGTTATTACAATGACATGTCTTTGGGTTTGTTGCCGTAGTGTTGTGACCATTATAAACAGTTTTTGGACCAAATAAAATCGATGTTCTGAAAAATCGATACTTTTACATTTAGAAAAGAGAGAAACGTATTGTTTAATGTTTATACACATAAAAACAAAACCTGACCACATATACATCTAGCTTTATTTTGATATTCAATATGTTGTCCTGTATGCTGCGCTTGGTAGACAGCATAGTAAACAGGGTTGGTGATCGCAGGACCAAATGCCTTGTAATTTTTAAACCCTTGCCGCTAAGGAAACCGCGACACATACAGGGTTATATTTCAAAGAGTAGCCAAATTTCAAACTTAAGTTCAAATATATAATTATTGATATTATACCGTTACTGCAGGTTTTGAAAATAAGAGTAAATAAGGTTTCTAGTTTTATTTGTAATTATCCCAAATTGAATTCATAATGTTTTTGCTGACCGATCGACCTTTACGAATGTGTGCGTACGTAGTACACTAATTGCCGTTAGATATTTATGAATGACTGTCAGTTACAATAATGCATTATCATTCTGAATTTAAAAGATAAATAGGAGAGAATGTTAATTTTTCTTTATCTTTTGCCTATATTGCTTATTCTGAAATTTCTCTGCAAATTTGGACCGACAATTTGCAGCTTCTACTGCATTATCATTAACAAGTCCATTGAAAATAGGCCTCCCCTGTAGCACAAAAAGCACGGCTCTAAGCCACCTGCATCCAACGACTTCCTGCATGTTTCATCACGTTGCGACTCTTATCTATTAGTAAGGTGTCATCCAAAAGTGCGCTTGCCAAAACGAGGCTATCACTCGTAAATTTTTTGACCCTCTCGGTTCTCAATTCTTCAAGCAATATGGTCACACCATACTATTAGTGATCCATTTAGCTACGTCGTTTACACGTTCTTCTGCGGATATACTCGTTATTTATTTTTAACACTTAAAAGTGTAGTATCGATTGATCGATCGCGAATATGTAAATCGATTTAGATCGATTTGAAACCATATTCCGTTGTGTTCGAGAGTTCCCGCGGCGGGCACTATTCTACAGAAAACTACGGAGCTTGAGATTTGAAATAATTTAGAAATCCTAAGACTGTGGTTAGCGCGGTTAAAATCATTCTAAATGATATTCGATTCCACCACGCTATTTAGAGCTGTGTAATTTTTTATAAAAAAAACTCAAGTGACAAACGACCCTACAGTCCTTGATGTACATGATGCCCATAGACTTAGAATATACTGGCGAAGCCAATATCATAAACAATTTACAAATGTACATGCCACTCATGATTTATAATATAGTCTCTTTTACGAAACTCACAGAATGGTTTCGGATGATAGATTTTTTCATTTCACTTAGTCCATCTATTTAAAATAAAAGCATATTCATTGTCGATTAATCCAAGTTAATATTACATTTTTTTGTCCATCAGGGTCCCCTTCAGCGGGTAATTGGGACAATCTGGAGCTCGCTGACGAGATAATGGATGTGAACGAGACCCGGCTCGAAGACATGACGAGGACTGAGGTGCTGAGCCACATACACGAGGTATGAATAATGTTTTTTGATTATACGTTTTTAAGAATATTAGAGTGGTAAACGAGCTCACTGGAGTGCAAGTGGCTACTATTATAGATTTAGTCATTTATTTATTGCAACCTATCAAGAGTCCACTTCTAAACATATTTTATGTATGTAGTTATATAGTTTAAATACGAAGATATTTAACACAAAAAATCGCACTTTTACATATCAAAATATACTCCAAACCATTATTTAAACTATAACATAGGATCAGTAATCTATTGGCAGTCCCGCTAAACTCCAAATTTTTTATATCTCGAATATGCTGCTTTCCTGGCTCGTGCATAAGATGTTATATATATATATATATATATATATATATATATATATATATATATGTTTATATATAGCTCATGATGTTTTTTTTTATAAAACTGAAGTGACAAATGAACTTACAGCTAGCCTGAATGGCAACTGCTGTAATTATACTGATTCCCCAAACCGCATACAGCAGTTCAAGCACTGCTATTTGGGGGTAGAGATAGATACCCAGATGAACTCCTAGATAGATAAGGAGCCAGTAAAACTACCCCTAGAAAAAATATGTTTTGAACACTTTTAACAACGCACAATTTTTGTTGCCGGTGTCGAACTCACCATGAGTCGACCTGATTTAAAATTCATGAGAGGTCATAATATCTTCCAGTCGTTCCCTTTAATCGATTCTTACGATACCAGTGGGACGAGAAGATCTGATTGATTCTCTTAGACCGCAAACACATGACACGAATTATTGTAAATTGATTGATATCCGGGTGAACTAATCGAAGTTCTGTCTGGCTCGTCTAATGGATGTTGGCAATTAAAATACAGATAGACATTAAAACGTCATGGGGCACAGTTCCCGTTACTGATTGCGTTATCCATTATATCCATTATACAAATAGGAGATTGTTGTCCGGGAAAAATTATAACAGTCTGCAACATACTGCATGATGGGGGACTAAGGTTATTACGCTGGAGTTGTCCTATCATGTATAAATTAAAATAACAAAACGAGTATCATATAAATTATGAACAGAGGATCTTATACCTGCAGACCTTCTGCAACATATTGTACTAAATCTATGTATACCAAAGTTATCATACTCGTCACGTAAAACCTAGAAGCAGCGGCACTATTAACGGCTCTTCTTGTCTGCGCGTTTTCGTCTCTCTGCAGGGCTACCATGGGCAGGAGACAATTTTATCCCCGGGGAAAGGAGAAAATGTTTATCCCCTCGCTTAGTTTTATTCACCCTTAGATACAATGGAAGATGGACTTAGACTTAGATAGATTTTTGTATAAATATAAACTTGAGCCCACGTCCAATGAACTAGGATAAAATTGTCCCTTTCAAATGTCAAAAAAGCATAATTTTTTATCTTTCATTTGGCTTCATGCTACGAACGGGGGATATATGTCTACTCGTTATGTCAAACGGGGATATACTTCTCCCCGTTGCTATGCTTTGGCATAGGGACAAGATAATTTTATCTCTTGTCAGTGGATATAATCGGGGGATAAATTTTTTGTCCCCAGCCCATGCTAGCCGTGCTGTTGCCCTACACCTATATTCCACGCATTCGAACGAAACGGTTTGCATCGCTTTTCGTAATACGTAGAGCAAGGGAGCGGAAAATTTTTTTTTGTACAACCGACTTCAATATAAATTATTAAGGATAACTCAAAAACTACTGGTCAGACCTTGATCAAATATATATGGGACCACATGAGAAGCACGAGCTTTCAAATAAAAAAAGATCATCAAAATCGGTTCACCTAGAAAAAATTTAGGAGGTAACACACATTAAAAAAACATATAACATGATTATACCTTAATTTTTTAAAGTAATTTAAGTAAATACATGCAAATTTTCACTAATCCATACAACTCCATAAAGTCCAAGACGTATTTAAGTATAAATATACTTAAATATCAAATCGGTGAAAGACTACCAAATGAGGGTTGGTATTGTAGGTCAGTTTAGCACAGGAAAAAGAAACAATAACGGGAAAGACTCGTGAACCTGGCACAGGCACATAACCTCAAAATCCTAAATACCTTCTTTAAGAAAAAGACAAACAAAAAGTGGACCTGGATATCTCCCGACGGGAAATTGAAGAATGAGGTAGATTTTATACTCTCCAACAAATTCCAATTTTTCAAAGACATAGGTACAATTAATAAATTCAACTTTAACACTGACCACAGAATGGTAAGGGGAACAATCTATCAAAAAAAACCCAAGAGAAGAAGACAGTGTACCAAAAAAATAATTCAACCAAATCAAATCCCTCTCTCCATCACAGAAAACTTGTTGACAACGCTGAAGGATAAAACATTGACTTGCAACAAGATCAAAAACATACAAGAAAAATATAATCTAATGGAAACAACAATACAAGAAATATCTACAAAACTGTACACCTCAAAGAACAAGAAAGATAAAATCGGAAAGGAAGCAAGACGTCTTATAGAAGCCAGAAAAACTCTTTAAGAAAACAAAAAACAAAATAGAAAACAAATAATGCAGTTAAGTAAACAGATAAATGAGAAAATCAGGACACACAGGAAACAAACAAGAAACAGGATTATTCAATACCACATTGAAAAATCAGGAGAAATAAAGAGAGCCCTAAAAGAATTAAAAGAGAACACTTCATGGATCCCATGTATAAAAAATAAGACATCTGGGAAAATAGAAACGAAACGGCCCGAAATTATAGAAATAGCGACAGGATTCTATAGCAAACTATATGATGACATGGACTACACAAACACACCTTATCTTCAGGAGGACAATGAAGAGGCTATCCTTCCAATACTAGAAACCGAAGTAAGAAAAGCCATACTGTCCCAAGGATAAGGCTCCCGGAGACGATGGAATAACAAACGAAATTCTGAAAGGTTACCTAGACTACGTTATAGAGGCCATCACAAATCTGTTGAACAATATGCTAACTGAGGAGATAATACCACAACAATGGACATCATCAACTGTCATATTGCTCCATAAGAAAGGCGACAAAGCAGAAATAATTAATTACAAACCAATCAGCCTCATCTCCAATCTATACAAGGTATTTGCAAATGTAATACTAAACAGAATCAGCTCAGTATTCGATGAAAATCAGCCAAGGGAACAAGCGGGATTCCGGAGTGATTTTTTCAACAATGGATCATATTCATGTCGTAAAACAAGTTATTCAAAAAAGCAATGAGTATGGAAAAAAATACTATATGGCATTTGTTTGTGGACTACAATAAGGCGTTCGACTCTTTGAGGCACACATACATCTGGGAAGCTCTGCGATCACAAGGGGTACACCCAAAGTATATTAGGATAATAAAAAAAATATACAAAGAATCAACATCAAAGATTCAGGCAGAAATGAAAGGTCCAGCGTTTAAAATAAAAAAGGGGTACGACAAGGAGACCCCCTTTCACCAAAATTATTTTCGGCGGTATTGGAGCACATATTCAGGAGAATTAACTGGGACAAAATTGGAATAAATATAAATGGCGAAAAGCTTAACCACCTAAGATTCGCAGACGACCTGATTCTGCTCAATGAAAATCATGAAGACTTAGGAATAATGTTAACCCAATTGGAAAGAGAAAATAAAATTGTAGGGTTGACTATGAATCTAGATAAAACAAAAGTAATGACAAATCATATAAAAACACCTATCTTTCTAAATTTTAATCAAATAGAGTATGTCGACGAATATACATATTTAGGAAAAATTATTGCACCAAAGAATCAGATGCAGAAGGAAATAAATATCAGGATAAGTAAAGCTTGGAAAAGATTCTGGTCCCTCAAAGAAATTATGAAGAACCTACATATACCCCTAAAAGGCAAAACTGGAGTGTTCAACTCATGCATACTACCATGTTTAACCTTTTAACATGGAGCACAAACCTGGGCTCTCACTAAGAAGCAGAGTAGAGCACTAACAGTGTGTCAAAACAGAATGGAAAGAAGCATTCTAAACATCAAGCTACGGGACAAAATCAAACTTACAAATATGAGAAGCAAGACAAAAGTTACAGATGTCGCATACACAGTGAAAAAACTTAAGTGGAAATGGGCAGGCCATATGGTAAAATACAGGAGGGAAAAATGGACAAAAAATGTTACTGAATGGTACCCTAGAGATGGAAAAAGACGTAAAGGACGTCAGAAATTAAGAAAGGAGGATGACATCAAGCAAATAGCCACAACAACGTGGCAAAGAAGAGCTGCAAATAAGGAAATATGGAAAACCCTAGGGGAGGCCTATGCCAAAGGGCAAGCTGATAATAATGTTACCGATGTCGAAGATTAAATTGAATTGTTATTATAAAAAAATGTTATTATAAAATATAATTTAGTATGTAAAGTAATTTAAAAAATTTTGCAATTATAATAATTCTCCAACTGTATTATATTATCAGAAATAAAGGCTATTTGAATTTGAATTTGAATACTTAAATATATACCTAGTCAGGTCATAAATTCTGTCACATGTTTAATATAAAATAATTGAAACAAGTTTATTTATTATGTAACCATTTATATACCAAAATGAACTTAACAAAACATAGATTCTTATGACACTAAAGTTTATTAAAAATGACCTCCGTGATTTTGAATACAGGCCTACAATCTGTGCGGCCAGTCGTCTATCGCAGCACGAACGAGGTCCATGTCAATATCGGCGGCTGCCTTAATCAAGGATGTCTTGAGTGACTCCAAATTGGGATGAGGCTTTGAGCACGCCTTTTCCTCCAAGTGTTGCCATATCTTGTAATCTAACGGATTCAAATCTGGACTGGAGGAGGGCCAGTCTTCGTGCCGGATGAAGTCGATTTCACGCGCCGCCAGCCAGTCTTGTGTGCTCTTCGCTCTATGAGCTGGCGCCGAATCTTGTTGGAATACCCAGTGCCTGTTATTGAACATGGTATGAGAAACAGGTTCCACAAGGTTCGTCAGG